GATGGGGCAGGAGACAGGCCCGGGGGATGCCATGAGGCTGCCTCTCCCCCTTGAGGTATCCAGCCAACACCCACGCCAGGGGCCTGTAACACGGCTGTGCCTGTGAATACAGAGGAGGTTTAGGGCAGGGAGCCCTTGCCCAGGCTCTCAGCTGGGAACACGGCACAGCCCGACCCCACTGCTGCTCTGCCTCAGGGGGTCTCCCTCTGGGCCCCACTCCTTCCCCCTACCCAGGGAACAGGGAAGCCTGGATTCTGGGGCTCGGCATGTCCAGCACCTGCAAAGAACGGGAGTGGGGTTAGTGAGACAGGAGCCCTTGGCACTGGCTATGTCCCTTGCGGCTGGCTGAGGAAGAGAAGGGATGTCTGTTAGTCCTGCTGGGTGGCCAAGGGGGCCAGACGGGCATGTTCCAGTGGTGATGACCCTTTCTCGGGAGCGGGGTGGGGACGGGGGTGCTGGAGGGACTGCCCCTGGCTGCCGTCCTCTCCTCCTCCCCCCAAACCCCAGCGCGGGACAAGGCAGCTCAACGGACATGCGCGGGCTGCTGAGTTACTATACCTGGGCGACACCCGTCACAGTTAAAGCTACCCCCTCGGCCGTCTCTACGTCCTCGCAGCGGGGCTGCAACGTCATAATCTCTAGGGAAATCCTGCCAAGAAACGCAAAACAGGGGCATGGGTCTGGGGGCCCAGGGCCTGGGGGTGTGGGGGAGAGTCCAGAACTTCACTGCTCCAGCTGGGAAGGGCCAAGGGTCCTGGTGAGAAGCCTCCAAAGGGCTGTGTTCAGGGAGTGTGTGAGCTGGAGAGAGCCGGGTGGTAGGCAGGGCAGGGGGGTGAAGGGGGCTCCAGGGGAAGGAGTGTAAGGGGGCTACACAGGTGCACGTGTGTCCTCTGCTCAAGTCAGCCTGGCTTGGACAGTGAGGAAAAGGAAGTAGAAAGTGGCTGTGGGGGGTCTGGGGCTAGGGACAACCCAGGTGTAGCTGTGTGTCCTAGGACAGCAAAGTCCTGGAACTGCAGGCCAGGCCCTGTGTGCCTGTGGATGCCATCTGAACACCCCCAGGGGCCTCACCCACTCTCTGGGTCTACTCAGCACCCTGGCACGCCCCAGGAGGCTGCCTAGAAAGCTATGCAGCTAGCCTGACATGCTGGGCCCAGACGGAAGTCACCCTGCACCTGGCTTTTGCCAGCGAAGTCCTGTCTGTCCCTCCACCAGGTGACAGGCGATGACATGAAGCCTACCCTCTGTATTGGGCCCAGGTGGGTCACAAGGGAAATGTAGGCTGAGGTCCCACCAGAGCCTCCTGGTCAAGGAGTGGTAACCCTAAAAAGAGTTGCTCTGGGACCAGTGGGTGGTGTGGTAGTTGAGGCACTGGACACTCCTACATGGCTGGCCACTGTTCAAGTCCTGGACCTGGTAGCTTGCTTTTTCACTTTCCCTCTTTCTCTCTGTCTCTCTCTGGTCAAGTTAAAATAAATGAATAAATCACTAAAATTAAAAAAAAAAAAAAGAGTCGCTCTGCCCAGACTGACTCCGTAAGGGTCCTCGACCACCCAGCTGCAAAGAAACCTGGGCATGTGCAGATGTTTCAAGTAGAGGAGGGGGGCCTGGTGGGGAAAGGGTTGTTTCTAATGGAGTGTGAGGGAGGCCTGGCCCCTCCCCATTCCACACAAGGTGCTCCAGGCTTCTCAGGCCTCTGCACTGAAGCCTGCCCTCCCATGGCCACAAGGGATGATGGGGCGGGGATGGTCTCCTTCGCAGACAGAGATGGCAGAATGGGTGAGGAAGGGAATGGCGGCCAGGATCTTTGCCTGAGAAGGTTGAGGGCAATCTATGTAGGGGTTGGTGGGTAACGGGTTGTTTAGGCCTCTTGCAGCCTGGGGTTGTGCTGGCACACGGGCTGGGGGGAGCAGGGCGGGGGTCTTTGATATTTGCACAGCGACTGAAACTAGCATGCGCCAGAGGGAACTGGCGAGGGAAGCAATGAAGATGATGCGATGGATGCCCCAGAGAAAGCGCTCCGAGTTGCCTAACCTCCTAGCCTACGACCCCCACTATGCCACAGCTGCAAGGTAAGGAAGACTGGGCGTTCAAGGACACCCACTGGCAGACTTGGGCAGAGTTTCCGGAATCCC